TTTTAAGAAGTTGATTATCTCACGTTAATAGAGAAAATAAATTTTGAAAAATGTTAGTAATATAAAGGAAGGAGATAATTAATTGAAATTTGAAAAGTTTTGGTCGGTTAAATTTATTAGTCATTTTTTTTCTAAAAAAATATTTGATTAAACTAATAGAGTGGTTGGATTTTGCTAGCTGTTCCCACCACTTTTGGATGTGATTCCAAGATGAATCATTTTAGCCCAATCATTTTTTATAAAATATGTATTTATTTGTTAAACATAACCAAGTGTAAGACAAATGTTAGTAGTATAAAAGAAAAATATAATTATTTGAATTTTTTTGGTTGATTAAATTTAAAATTTAGTTACTTTTTTCCAAAAAAAATCTTCGATTAAACTAATAAATTTGAATAATTTTAACCTAATCTTTTTCTGCAAAAAAGATATATTTATTTTATAACACCCTCAAAAATAAAAGAAAATACGCAAGTATAAAACGAGATTCGGAAACTTCCAAAATAAAATATATATATATATCCCCAACAAGAGGTGACAGTAAAGCGTTTACGTAACGAATACCGAGAAGATAATTAACAACCTACTAATATAGGTTTTCTACCACTAGATTATAGACGGGTGTTTCTATCAATCTCCAAAAGTACAACATCTTCATTCGTAACGCTCAAAAGTAAACAGACTTTACTACAAAAGAGCCCCTTCACGTGCCATCGCTTCTCTCAACCCATTTTGGCCCCACCGCTTAAGGAACCTGATATGCAAACCAAATCAAAGAAGTGTTAGGCTTACGCCTAGTGAGTTCAATTAATATCGCAAGGAAAATGAAAATCCTTTAAATAAAGTTTTCATAAATTCGCCGACACCATAATAAAATAGCTAAATTGAATTATTATAAAGAGGGGTCCAAAACATTCGATGATAACGGGGGAGACCCGTTTTACCGTTGATTATGATAGACACAAAGTAAGTCGTAAGTCAACGTTATAGAGCATCACATATAGGTTTAAAACCATCGACATCAACCTAAACCAGTCATTTAGTCGATCGTGATCTTACGCTCTGTATCTCGGAAATTACATAATAATCACAATGCCTATTTCCGGGTGGTAGTGAGAGGATGATTTGGAGGTTACATAATAATCACAATACCTACCACCAACTTACACCATCCCTCACATAAAGTGTAGAAGAACAACTTTCAATACAAAATTCACCACATTTCGATCAATTATTAGGAAAACCAAGGTTAGGTATACATATGCATGAAATGTTAATCTAGCACCGAGACTGTACATAAGTCCGCCATTTGGGAGTGATAATTCGCTACCTATCCTTAACGATTACTAGATTATACTAAGAGATTAATGGGATCTCCTAACATAAGATACCTTAGAGTTTATAACATACAAGAAACTATAATTAGCATCATTTATCAATGTTCCCCCTTTCGAGTCATACACAAGTTCTTATGATTCTCCAATTGATTTTCACATTAGCTCTCTCCTTGAATTAAAATTTCATAGGCAAGTATTACCGTTCTCATCAATCGAGTAAGTCTTCAAGCCTCTTTATACGAATAACATCTAAGTAGCATGTTAAGGGACCGAGTCTAAGCCTATAATATTTTGGAGAGTAAAAGCACATAACCGGATAGAATGAACTCACTAGCAAGGTGGATGACATCGCAGCTCTAAACAACTGCCCCTGCTGCCTCTGTTTGCTCGGAAGGATGCGAAAAGAAAAAAAAACGCAGCGAGGGCTGTTGTTTACTGACGGTTAAGGGCGAGGTGGCACAGCAGCAATCTGCTGCTGTCTAAGGCAATACGGCAGCTTCTATTACTGCCTAGAATGGTCTGACGGCTTCTGATTCAGTCTTCTTCACGCACAGCAGGCTCGGCTGGTTGTTGTCCCGCGGTCTAGTTCCTCCTTCACACAGCTAGGTCCTTCACACAGCAGCTGCAGATGCGTTTTTCACACAGAAGCTGCAGGTAAGTGCTCCATACAGTCCCCTTCTTCACACAGCAGCCACGACTGTCTGCTGCCTCGCGGTTTAGCTCTTCTTTCACACAGTAGGCACAGCTGTGTGCGGTTCCGCGGCTTGGCCTCTCCTACACACGGCAGCCACGGCCTTGGGTTGATCTGCGGTACGGCTTGAAGAGGGGTGGAGACAGCAGGTTGCAGGGATTCCACAGATAGGTTCAATTTCTTTTTCTCAACTCCAAAGTCGGTTTACCAAGCTCCACCATTATCAACATCTTCTCCCCTCCCTCAAAACTTATTCTCCCAAGGTATTCTAAATAGAGGGGTAAGGACTTTCAGGGAAAGGAGAACCCACGAGGAGAAAAGGAAGATCTAGTCAAGAAGAAGGGTGGTAGTACAACTTAGGACATTAGACCATCCACATCCCTGCAATCCATTTACACTTTCAATTGTGACACATCAGCTTTTGCAATTATCTTCCACACACCTGCAATTCACCTACACTTTCAAAAGTGGTCCCCACTACAACATTTATTAACTATTTTATAAATTATTTATATATACATTATAATTATTTTT